TACTTTTCGTTTTGCTACAATTTGTTATTGTTAATAATTGCATTAACAAAAACCACAATTTATTTGATTTTAATGTATTTTTAATATTAAAAATATATAAGTATGTATTTAATTAGCGTCCATTCGCTGTTACTTGTCTTTTTTTTATTTTAATTAAGAATTTATGTTCACAATGTTATTTTCTCGTGAGAGCGATTTAAAACACGTCTATCCACTATGAGACTAAATTTTTTTTTACCTATATTTAGGTAAAATTAAAAAAATTTGGTAAAATTATTGAAAAAAAAATGACAAGAAATCGTCCATTTTTTAAATTATTTTTTACTTTTTGGTAAAATGATTGAATTGGAAAAAAACTACATTGCGCTTAAAAAAATCGCGCGATAACAATGGGTTAATTATATACGCCAATTATATACGTCAATTGAAAGGTATTTCAGAGACCTTTCCGTAGATGCCCATTTTGCGCATATCGGTTAATAAGCAGATGAGCTGCATAATTACATGTGATCAAAATCGATATTTACGAAAATATTTACATTTAAACTTAAAAAACTCCTGCATTTAATGTGTTATAGCTTTGAAACATATATTATAGGAAAGTCCCAAATGTTATCTACAAAATTTCATCGGTTGATCAGTAATCGAGATATATCCAATTAAACATCGAAACTTTGGAGCCCTATAACTCCCGGACTCTAATAGAGCGGATATTTTTTTCCTTTGTTGAAGTCACAATAAAAAGTACTATCATACTGTATAAACAATTATATTAAAATCATCTGGATTAGAACGCTCGATTTATGACGAGAAATGTTTATATTTTATTAAAAAGTATTAAAATTTGCGATAAAAATATATTCTGAATTCAGTTATGTTTGTTTCAAACGAAAAATTCTATTCAGGCAGATTAATTTGCAAAATTTAAGTGAGTGCCTGAAGCTAAGTAAAACTTAATTTTTGTGAAAAATAAACATAAAAATGTACATATTCATGAAAAAATTATATTAGGAATGATTGAATCTTTGTTGCGAAAGGATAATTCTACTCCGGCGGATTAATTTTCAATATTTGGCCATAAAGTAGTAGCAGATGGCCGGAGTAATACCTCATATGGATTTTGTTATATGTATAAAGCGTTCCGGAACAGATTTTTTAGTTAATCTCTTTATCTACATAATGTTTATATAAAACAATATTGTTTAATTTGTTAACATTTAATAGATTTTAAAATAACGTGAAAACAAGCTGCCACTGTCCGGCTAAATTTTTCATATGTGTTTACATAAAGTGTACCGGAAGATATTTTTTTAATTATCTACACAATGTTTATATAAAATATAAAACAATATTGTTTAATGTGTTAACATTTAATAGAAAAAATATTTTTCTTAAATTAAATATTTGTATACATACCAATTATGTAACTATTTAAATAAAATGATACTTGTTTACGAGATGCTTGATATTTTTAAATTTCTTTCATGAATAATTGACAGCTACGTTGTAATTTTTAAGATTTAAACGTTGTAGTCAGCTGCCTCAAAACATATGAGGGTAAGTACCTCATATTTGTTTTGTTATAAAAAGCGTTCCAGAAGAAAATTTTGTTAGTTAATTGCTTTATCTACAAAGTGTAAATATAAAAAAACAATATTGTTTAATTTGTTAACATTTAATAGAAAAAATATTATTGGTATATTAAGTTGGTACATGCGTACCAATTATTCATTATTTATATATTTGTTTACAATAACAAACTCTAACATCAGTGCGTACCAGTTAAGTAAAGAAAAAAATAATCGGCTAATTAAATAACACCACCTTATGTGAATTCGCCTTGAACAACATTTTACATGTATCATGGTATATTATTTATAATATTGGTATGTATACAAATATGTTATTTAAGAAAAATATTTTTTCTATTAAATGTTAACACATTAAACAATATTGTTTTATATTTTATATTAAAATTGTGTAGATAACGTGATTAACTAAAACAAATCTCTTCCGGAACACTTAATATTAAGAAACGCATATGAAGTATTTACCCGGCTGGCGGCAGTTGACTTCTACGTTATGGCTTAATTTTGAAATCAATTAAATGTTAACAAATTAAACAATATTGTTTTATATATACGCTATGTAGATTAACTAAAAAAAGTCTGTTCCGGAACGCTTTATATAACAAAACATTTTACAAAAATTATTCATCAAATGAATTCGCCGTACTTATGGTTTTTGACATCTACGTAAACCAAATGCAAAAAAAAAATTCATGTAAAATGTTGTTGTTGCAGAACTGCCACCACCTTATCAGAATTCGCCTTGGTACGTACTGATGTCATAAACAATAATTGCGGCGAATTCATTTAATGAAAAATATTTTGTGAAATCTTAATATTTTATAAAAAATACACATAAAAATATTAAAATTTGTGAAGATTATTCCAGCCTGAGTAGAATAATGTTTGTTCCAAACGAAAAATTTTACTCCGGCAGATTAATTTTGCAAAACTTGAGTTTGTGCCCAAAATTATGCAAAATTAATATTTTTGTGAAAAATAAACGTAAAAATATAAAAATTTATGGAAAAATTATATACCGAATGAAAGAATCTTTGTTGTAAATGGAAAATTCTACTCCGGCGGAGTAATTTTTAAGATTTACACATCGTAGTCAGCTGCCGCCGGACGGGTAAATACCTCATATGGGGTTTGTTATAAAAAGCGTTCCAGAACAGAATTTTGTTAGTTAATCAGTGCCCGTGTTCTGTAACTTTCGAGTCGAGAAAAAAACATTGAAATATTAGAGTCTTCCACTTTTTAGTTGCGTGATTCATATAATTTTTAAACTGAACACATTACAATTAACCAAAATATATTTGAATTATGCGTGTTCACCCTGTTTTAAACAAGACGATTATAAATTTTTCGAATTTTTTGGTCGATTCGAAAGTTACAGAACACAGGCACAGATTATATACACAGTGTAAATATAAAACATTTTATTAAATTTTTTTTACTTCTCAAAATTTGACAGATGCCGCCGGTCGGGTAAACACTTAATGTATATAAAGTGTCCCGGAACAGAATTTTTTTTAGTTAATCGTTTTATATACAAAGGGCTGTTTTCTCATTAGGCGATTATCTTTTTTCCCAACGAAAAACTACCGATTAAAGAAATTTGGTTTTCTCAATGTCTCATTTGCTTCTATTCTGTCGCAAAACTAACCGCGTGTTCACCCTGTTTTAAACAAGACGATTATAATTTTTTCGAATTTTTTGGTCGATTCGAAAGTTACAGAACACAGGCACAGATTATATACACAGTGTAAATATAAAACATTTTATTAAATTTTTTTTACTTCTCAAAATTTGACAGATGCAGCCGGTCGGGTAAATACTTAATGTATATAAAGTGTCCCGGAACAGAATTTTTTTTAGTTAATCGTTTTATATACAAAGGGCTGTTTTCTCATTAGGCGATTATCTTTTTTCCCAACGAAAAACTACCGATTAAAGAAATTTGGTTTTCTCAATGTCTCATTTGCTTCTATTCTGTCGCAAAACTAACCAGCCCTCATCTGCCGATTATTTATTTGTTGTACAGATAAATTCAATCAGCTGACTGCTGTTCATATTTTTTATGTGGCAATACCTTGAGTTTTTGTAAAAAAAGTTAAATAGATTTAAAAAAAATGTTTAATAGAGGAATAAACATTAATTTGATGGAGGATGAACTCGAAGAACATGAGTTCCAAGTGAATGTCGAAAGAGTTTATCATGCCAGACCTAACTACCTGGCAGACATGGATGATAATGAATTTTTCAAAAGATTCCGGCTGTCAAAGACAACATTTAAAATGGTTCTTGATATGATCACCGACAAAATTTCCTCAATGACGGACAGAAATCATGCTCTTACGCCCGAAATCAAACTATTGCTAACATTACGATATTATGCCACTGGCAATTTTCTTATAACGGCCGGAGATTTTTGTGGAGTAAGCGTATCTTCTGCTTGCCGTGCAGTAAGAGACGTCTCTGAGGCAATAGCAGCTCTCTCTGGAGATTTTATTAAATTTAATAAACCGCATGCAGCTACTGTAGATGCATTTTTTCGAATATCCAAATTTCCAAAGGTGGTTGGTACGATCGACTGTACACATGTACGAATTCAATCACCGGGAGGAGATTATGGGGAAATATTCCGGAACCGCAAAGGATATTTTTCCATTAATCTCCAGGCTGTATGTGAGGCTAATTTAATATTCCAAGATTTGGTCGCAAGATGGCCTGGCTCATGTTTGGATAAGGCTGGCGGACTATGTTCGGTTAAGTGAGCATAATTTAGCTTTACCCGCTTTTGCATTAAGTTCTCTTTCCAGATCATGTAATAATGTTATATAGTCCTGAAAAAATGTTTTTCTATAAAAGAAATAACAAAGGGGCTTTTTTTATCAAATAAAGGAAAAAATACGGCACATTTTACATGTTTCAAATTTCGATGCTTTGACTTTTTATAGGGATGAGGTAACTAAACACCTCAGCTCCAACTTTGTAAAATTTCGTTACGATATCCCCAATAGTTCCCGATATACCAATTTATTTCAAAAAAACTTCTCTAAAACACTGTGTCACATGAAGAATGAACCAATATTTCTTATTAATATTTATTAGTCTTCAATTCAGTCTTAAATTGCGAGGTATTAAATTATTAATAATAAGGTAACATAAGTAAAAGTAAATTTAAAATAAACAAAAAATAATATCAGTTTTAAATTCAGGTTCTATGAGATCGGAAAAATAATACATTTTATTTTTATATATGGGCAATTTCATGTCAAGTGACCCAACTTTTAAAATCGTTGTCTTCCGATTTGCACCAAGGTTAATACTATTGAATAGTAGGCCAGTAGGCAAATCGGAAGAAATGGATTTTTAAAGTTGGGTCACTTGACACGAAATTACCCATATGTAAAAGCTGTAAATATATCAATACTTTTTCACATATATGAAACAAATTTTTCTTTTTTTTGCTAATATTTCAGTTTTTAGTTTCATCGACTCTATCTCCAATTTATGTTTTTCATTTGCTCTACGATTTTCACCTTCATAAAAGACCTGTTGCAATTTAAGTAATTTAACTTTTTCTTCTTCCATTGATGTTTTTTATTCTTATTAGAAATAAACAATTCGTTGGAAACTTTTCGTTTAACTGCAGAAGCATTAAATTTTACTCCGCTTGAAGATGGTTCGATAGTAGGTTTGGTTTTTATTTCAGGAAGTTCCTTGCATTCCGACATCGTGCTCACTTCGAGTTCGTCAGGAAAATCATCTTCCAAGATAGAACTGTTGTTCACAGTTTCCATATTGTCAAGAAACTCTTCTTCCATTTGTTCATCATTAATATTATTATTCGCTATTAAAAAATTACAATAAAATAACAAATAGTTTTAACTAAGTTACACATTTTCTTACTATCATTATTGAATGGATTGTATAATCCAGTTGCACTATTTCCAACCAGAGATAATATTTTTTCTGAGACTGCAGACACTGATGCATTGGCAGGTATACCGCCACCAGTACGGTATGTCTCACGCTTTTCAGTGGCCAGCTCCATTTTGGATTTTCGTTTCATATTATCGTACTTGTCCCTTAATGTTTTCCAGGGACGGTGTATTCCACTCTGGCTCTTAAAGCATTCTTCCAACTTCATCCACGCTTCATTTTTTATTTTCCAATTGACTGCGTCCGATTTTTTGTTCTCCAATATATGTTTTTGACTTATAACCAAATCTACAAGCAGCAGTTCCTCTTCAGTAGTAAAATTTTTCCCACGTTGCTTTTTATCCGTCATCGTTTAAGATTTTATTTATTTTTTAAAATATTTATTTTCTTGATTTAATTTTCTGTTATTTTTTCACATTTGGAAAACAGTTGATGTATGTCAACAACTTGTCACTTGAAGACAGAGTTCCCAACTTTCACATCAATTTTGAGAGGTATTGCCAAATGAAAATAATGTTTTTGTCGGTATATTAAGAAAACCAAAATTGTTAACGGACAGTTTATCAGTCTAATAAATTTATGTCGACATTTACTAACAGGCAGTTTCTCGACACATTGAGAAAACGGGCCAAAGTGTGAAATATAAAAAAATTTTGTTTAATTTGTTAACATTTAATATAAAAAAATATTATTGTTACAGTCAAACTCGTTAATAACGAACTCCGCGGGACCAGTCAAATTTGTTCATTATAAGCGAAATTCGTAATAAAACAGGTGAATTTTGTAAAATAAAGTGGTATTTTACAAAATTTTAAGAATATGATTTATAAATTTATATAATATTCTTTACAAAAAAACACCATTGATTTCATTTGTTCATATTTTTCTTAACAAATTTAAGTTTATTTCAACAAAGCAAAATATATTTTTATGATTTCAACACATAAATTTGAATTGTACTTGAGGAACTGAAAAAGTAGTTGGTTTTATACGAGGATTCGTAATAACCGAGTTCGTTATAAGATATGTTTTTTGTATGAAAACAGTTACCAAAATAGCGGTGTTACGGAACGCCCTGTAATGTTTCATAATAGTCTCATCCAAGGCGAATATATTATAAGGTTAAGTCATTTCATTTTGCGGCGAATTCATTAAATTTTTTATATATGAAGTTTGACAGCGTCGGTTTTGAGAGAGAATTTTTTTTATATGGAGTTTGACAGCGTCGGGCTAAATTTCCATGGACAAAAAAGCAATCAGCTGTTGAAATGACTTCACCTCATTAATTTCGCCATGGTCTCATCACTGTTTTATTAATTGTGCCATCCTTGTTTATAATCATCTGTTTTGAACCGCGTTTTTACATTCCTTTTTCTTCTTGTTTTTTGCATGCATTTTGGTATGATTCAAAGATAAAATGTTTAATGTCGTTTAAAAAGCCAAAGAAGAGAGAGGTGCAAAACTGCGGTAAGAGAATACATTTATATTTGTCTTTATTTGTGAAATTAACTGTTACCCTTTTTATAGAAATAAACCTAAATATTTAAACTGTATTTTGTTCAACGCAAACCTCTTTTATTTCTGTCAACAACATTGCTTTATTTCGCAGTTTTTTTGTATATGTGTTTTGTTTTTTCGTACAAAATAACTGCGTTTATGCTGCCGTGGGAAATTCTACAATATTAAAAATTGGAAGTACTTATTAAACTCAACCATTATGATGCTGCATTCTTCACGCCGGAGTCCACGTCTACAAGGAAGCGATAATTCAAACGCTTCTAACATACCAGCCCAGACACAGAAAGTGTCTAACCAAGTCACAGTAGAATCTGCCGCCATCGCCACCACCACACCATCAGCCACTACTAGTAAGTCTGCCGTCGTAAGTAGTAAGCCTTTTACGCCAACCACCACAAATGCCGTAAACGTGTTGGAGATGCAAAAGCAAATTGCATTGTTAAAACGGCAGCTTTCAGAAACCCAGACAAAACTCAGCAGTAGTAATCGCCAATGCCAACAACTTGAGTCAGTTATTCGTTACACGGAATCTGTAAGTAATCATAACCTCACAAAATCTGTTCCCCCTCAAATAACAGACACAGCAGCCAGCACACCTTTGCCGCCAGTTACATCAACAGCTTATTCTGCCGCCAGCGTACATATGTATACCACCAGCTACATCTATAGAGAGCCGTTATACAAATACAGACGTATACACTACACATACAACAACAATGACAACTGCCGCCATACCGTCATTTCCAATCAGCTCTGCCAGCAGCAACGCTATGCCATCGACGCAAGCAGCACCTGCAGTCGATAATTTGAATATGTATTTGTCACCAAATATTTCTGTTGGGCCGCCATCTTGCCAATCATTTTCTACACAGCTCCAGCCAACAATGAATAATTTGATAACCCAGGCTTGTTACCAAATAATTCAAGTGCCATGATGTATCCACGTAAGCTTCAAGAATTGCAAGAATTTAGTGGTGCAGCGGAAGATTGGCCAATATTTTATACTGCATATCTTCAATCAAATGCAACATATAATTATTCAAATTTTGAAAATAACCAGCGCCTACAAAAGAGCCTCAAAGGTGATGCTCGTGACTTAGTTAAGTCTTTGTTAATTCATCCAATCAACGTAAGTGCTGTCATCGAACAGCTTCGTATTAGATTTGGTAGACTGGAACCTTTGATTCAAAGCCAGTTGCGTCAAATAAGAGAAATTCCACATATTTCGGAAAATAATTTATCAAAATTAATACCCTTTTCTACAAAGGTAAGAAATCTGACTGTTTTTCTTCAGTCCGTGGAAGGACACCAACATATTGCCAACCCAACGTTGTTAGATGAATTAATTTCGAAACTGCCAATGAGCAAAAAATTAGATTGGGCCAAAATTGCAGCTACTATCAAGCCATATCCTACTCTTCTTAATTTTAGTGATTTTAAGGATGAGATGACCAACTTAATTTGTTCAATACAGGATGCCGACAACAAGGAACCAAAACGTCGAGTACTACTTCACACTGCGAAAAGGCTGCCACAATGTCCTTTATGCAAAGGTCAACACAAACTTTGTGATTGTCGCAGTTTCCTAGACTCAACTATAAATAAACGTTGGTCAGACGTTAAGAAGATTCGTGCCTGCTTTTCATGCCTTAATGTTGGCCATTCAACCCGCGATTGTCGTCGTAAAAAATGTTTACAAAACGGTTGTCAACGAAATCACCACAAATTACTCCATGAAGTTACCAACGAGACAGTGCCACCTGCCACCCCAAATGAAGTGAGTGACCCTCAACAAAGCGTACTCAGCTGTTCTTCTGCCAACAACAACAAAAAATTTTTGTTTCGTATTTTACCTGTTACATTGTATGGTGAATGATGTCGTTTGGATATTTATGCCCTCTTTGACGATGGATCGTCAATTACAATGATGGATAAGGACGTTGCCGAAAAGCTTGGAGTACGTGGTCAGAAAGGTAACTTAAATATACATTGGTTTGGCGGTCGATCAGCTCAGGAGTCAGTTTTAAAATAAGTGGTATAGGTAAATCTAAGTGCCATTGTATGCGCAATGTTTATGCTGTTTCAAATTTAAATCTGCCTATGCAAAGTTTAACAAATCAAGATTTGCAAAATAGTTTTCAAAGATCGTCATCTTTTCCCGTTAAACCCTACACCAACGTAATACCCCAGCTGTTAATTGGATTGGATCACGCGTATTTAGGTTTGCCAACTAATACTCAAGTAAATTTGTCTTCGGGTCCATTTGCCTGCAATACCGAATTTGGTTGGTTAGTGTTCGGCCCCTGTCGTACTTTGTCAACAAATTATCCCTCATGTCTTATGGCAAGCATAGAAAATGATAGCAGTCTTCATCAACTTGTTAAACATTTTTTCAACGTGGAAAGCATTGGTGTAAGACCGGAGAGTGATGAAGACGTAAGAGCGAATGGAATTCTGCTAGAAACAAGAAAACGAATTGGGGACCGATTTCAAACCGGCCTCTTATGGAAACATGATAACATAAAGCTGCCAAACAGTTATCCAATGGCCCTTAGACGCTTGGAGGGAATTGAAAAAAAGATGAATCAAAATGTAATCTTTGCTGCTGCATACAAAGAAGTAATAAATGGGTATGTAGAAAAAGGCTATGTTCGTAAACTTCGTTTAGAAGAAATAGAGTTGTCAAGTGACAAAAGATGATATTTGCCTCATTTTGGGGTTATAAATCCTAATAAACCAAAAAAGGTTCGCTTAGTATTTGATGCAGCTGCACAAGTGAATGGGATTTCTTTAAATTCTCATTTATTAAAAGGTCCTCAAGACATTATTATTCAGCCCGAAGACAGAATCAGCCAACGCTTTTTATGGCGCCATGGAAATCAAAATGACACTCCGGATGAATACGAAATGGTGGTCATGACTTTTGGAGCAGCCTGCACTCCATGCTCAGCTCGATACATCATGAAAGTCAATGCTACGGAATACAGCCAATCTCAGCCAAGAGCAACAGCAGCCATCTTAAATCATCATTACATTGACGATTTTGTCGACAGCTTCGATAGCGTGGTGGAGGCAGTAAATGTTTCCAAACAGGTACGTGATATTCACAAAAAGGGTGGTTTAGACTTACGAGGTTTCATTTCAAATTCGAATGAAGTCACCCTGGCATTGGGCGGTAGTACAATTTCGAAAACAATGCTGGCAGATGATACAGAAAAAGTTTTGGGTTTATATTGGGACTTTTCTTCTGATAATTTTAAATTTCATTTAAAGTTCCATAAGGTTGATTCATCTGTCATGTCTGGCCACAGAAAACCTACAAAAAGAGAATTACTCAGTATCATCATGTCAACATTTGATCCTCTTGGGTTTTTAAGTTATGTTATTGTTGGTGGAAAATTAATTTTACGCGAGCTTTGGAGACGTGATTTTCGGTGGGATGAAGCTATCCTGGAAGACGTTAATAAATAATGGGAGCAGTGGCGGAAACAAATAAATAAAATTAAAAACTTTCGTGTGCCCAGATGCTATTTTTCAGCAGGGTTGCCGGATAGTCTTAATCTTCACATCTTTGTTGACGCTAGTGAGGACTCCTTTGCTGCCGTCGCATACTGGAGGTGGATTTCTGATGATGGTAAAATAGGTACTAGTTTTGTGACATCTAAAACAAAATGTGCCCCTTTGAAAAGAGTAACCATTCCACGCTTGGAGCTGCAGGCAGCAGTACTGGGAACCCGATTAATGCAAACAATTTTAGATGGTCACGGATTTACACCTGAAAAATGTATCTTATGGAGTGATTCCAAAACAGTTTTAAAATGGATTGCTAGTAGTCATCATCGATACAAGCCATATGTAGCACATCGAATTGCTGAAATTTTGGCCTCCACCGAAACTGATAGCTGGAAGTGGGTTTCAACCCATGATAACGTCGCTGACGATGCAACAAGAGCGTTTAACAACATTGACTTTTCCTCCTCTACACGTTGGCTTACTGGGCCGGAATTCCTTTTGCGTAACGAAGATGAATGGCCAAACAATTATAAAGCTGATGATTCAAATCATGAAGACGAGGAAGAGCTTCGCCCTAAAATTTCTTTGTTGGTTGTAAGTAATACCTTTATAAATTTTCATCGTTCTCTAGAATAAAGAGAACAACCGCATGGGCTTTACGTTTTATAAATCGATGTCGTAAAAAAGAAGTCGATGTACAATATTATTGTTTAACTGCTAGTGAACTTGAGTCAGCTGAGCAATTGCTGTGTTTACTGATACAAAAAGAGCGTTTTTCAACTGAAGTCCATTGCATTAAAAATAATCAATCCTTTCCGAAAAACAGTAATTTAGTGCAGATGACACCTTATATTGACGAAAATGGTTTGCTGCGTCTGTATGGTAGAATTGATGCAGCCATCTTCTTGCCTTATAGTTCAAGACGACCAGTGATATTACCATATGATCATTCCTATACAACTCTTGTAGTTCATCACTATCACTGCCAAATGAAAGATCAAAATCACGAGGCGACAATATGTGAAATACGTAAGAAATACTGGATTCCTCAAGTTAGACGTCTGCTGCGGAAAGTTATTTCAAGTTGCATGCTATGCAGGTACAGTAAGGCTACCCCACGTATACCAATTATGGGTCCACTTCCTATTGACCGACTCGCGCCGAACGTCAGACCATTTAAATACACTGGTCTGGACTATTTTGGCCCTTTGACTGTAGCTATTGGCAGGCGTTCTGAAAAAAGATGGGTAGCACTCTTTACTTGCCTTACAATTCGGGCTATACATTTGGAAGTAGCCCATGACTTGTCAACCGACTCCTGCATTATTGCTATGAGGAATTTCATGAATTGCAGGGGTGTCCCAGTACGATTGCGTTCTGACAACGGAAAAAATTTCATTGGTGCTAATGAAGAGGCTAAACGTTTTACAGAAGTTTTTGAAGCCGAACGAATACAAAATGAGCTGTCTGGTAAGGGTGTTGAGTGGGTCTTTAATTGCCCAATAAATACGTCTGAGGGTGGAATATGGGAAAGAATGGTCCAGTGTGTTAAGAAAGTACTCCGGAAAACTTTAAAAGACGTTTCGCCTAAAGAACATGTTTTGCAGTCCCTTTTATTAGAAGCAGAAAACATTGTCAATTCACGCCCATTAACTCATTTGCCAATAAGCCCAGACGAAGAAGAACCCCTCACGCCAAATCACTTCCTTGTTGGTTATGGAAATGTGGCTCAAACTCCACCAGCTGATGAGGCAGATAGTAAGCTCTGTAGTCTTAGAAAACAGTGGCGTATTGCAAGGAGTCTTCGTGACAGATTTTGGAAACGTTGGGTACTCGAGTATTTGCCAACATTAACAAGAAGAGTTAAATGGTGTGAAAGAACAACTCCATTAAAAGATGGCGACATGGTATTTATATGTGATCCAAATCTTCCCAACAGTCAATGGCGACGTGGCATAGTAATTCGTGTGTAAAAACTGCGTCCGGCGTTCTACAAAGAGCTGTATCCAAATTAGCCGTTCTAGACTTAGATGTTGGTGAAGCTGGTCGCTCCACGGGGGCGGGGGTGTTACGGAACGCCCTGTAATGTTTCATAATAGAGTCATCACTGTTTTATTAATTGTGCCATCCTTGTTTATAATCATCTGTATTGAACCGCGTTTTTGCATTCCTTTTTCTTCTTGTTTTTTGCATGCATTTTGGTGTGATTCAAAGATAAAATGTTTAATGTCGTTTTAAAAGCCAAAAAAGAAAGAGGTGCAAAACTGCGGTAAGAGAATACATTTATATTTGTCTTTATTTGTGAAATTAACTGTTACCCTTTTTATAGAAATAAACCTAAATATTTAAACTGTATTTTGTTCAACGCAAACCTCTTTTATTTCTGTCAACAACAAGCGGGACTTGAAAACTCGTTCGTAATTCGTTAAAATCGAGTTCGTTATAAGCGTGTTTGACTGTATATAAAGTTGGTACATGCGTACCAATTATTCATTATTTTTATAAGAAAAATATTTGTTTACAAAATGCTTGGTACTTTCAGATTTTTTACAGTAGGCATACTGTCAAACTCCATATATAAAAATTAAAATGAATTCGCTCCGTATTTCTGAATTCGCCGACGACACCTTATAATTATTATATCTTGGTACGTACCAGTCAAGTGAAGAAAAAAACAAGTTAGAGTGCTATATTCGACTATGCCGAATCTTAAATACCCTCCACCAGCAAGCTATTTTTTTAAATCCATTTAACTATCTAATTTTTAGATAACTTGCCAAAATTTTTGTCGAACTAATTTTGATTGGGTCCAGACAAATTTATATTAATAGTCCAGTTCGAAAACATTTTAATAGAATGATTTATCTATATACAGAACATACTCATGTCGAATTTTATCCGGATATAATCATTTAATAACGAATTAAGTGGTATTATCTGATTTTCAGAAGTTAACCTTATATGGGAGCTAAGACAACTTATGGACCGGTCCGTATAATGATTTATATACATACATATATACAAAATACACATTTATGTCAAATTTTATACCTATAATGAAATGATCCTTATATGGGAAACAATTTCGTATAGTGATTTATATGCAAATAAGATCAAGTCTAATTTTACTCCAATAGCTTTATTAATTAATGAAACATGTGCGTTTAGGTGATTTTGGGAAGTGGACTTTATATAGGAATGATTTGTATGTAAACGAAACATATTAAACTCGAATTTTATCACAATAGCTATATTTGTCAATGAAATGTGTTCGTTTAGGTAATTTTCGGAAGGGGACCTTATATGGGAGCTATGACCAATTGTGGACCTACTGAGATCTCCGTTGACATTATGATTTCTGTTCATATTATATTTGCATATACACAATTATGTGTTGATACCGTTATATTTGAGGGAGTTATTTTAATGATAAACAAATTTCCTGGAATATATACCTTTATATGAGGGCTATGGGAAATATTAGATCGATTGCAAAGATTTTGAACATAATTGATTATTGCCTTGAAAAAATATTGAGTGACAAAATTCATCGAAATATCTTTGGTAGTTTCTGAGAAAACTTCGAAAGAATTAAGAAAAAAACGTATTTTTTCGAGGTAGTGTGAAATTTTTACTCATACCGATTTTGCTGATTTTTCAATACCAAACTGCTTAGGATAATAATAAATATTTTGGGTGAATTTGGTTGATTTGCGTGTTTTACGCAAAAATACAGACGGACATAGCTAAATCGACTCAGAATTTCATAAGGACCCTGAATATATATACTTTCGATGAATATTTCTTGGTGTTACACACGGAACGTCAAACTTATATATACCCTCTATCATCACTGATGGTGGTGGAGGGTATAAATAATCAGCTGATTGAATAACACCATGGTATATTAATTATAAGGTAGTGCTAACAGAGCAGCTGAATGTTTTTTGCTAACACACTTTTGTTTTTTTTATATGTGGTTTGCAGTGTTGCCAGAAAATGAATTTCAAAATATGCATGACTACAATATTTCTAGTACTATATCTTCATCATTATCTATATTTTGATATTCTTCAAATGATCTTATTTTAATTGCAATATAATTAGTTATATATTCATAAACAATATTTTATTTTGTAAAAGATTTTTAATACTAAATTTCCATAAAAATTTGATTTATACTTGTGTAAAATTAAAAACTGTTTATGATTAAGGCCACTTAACAGCACGCATTTCGAATTTCAATTCTTTTGTATTATTGAACAAAAAAATTCAGCTTAAATACGATTTCGAATTTTATTTTTAATTATAGCCTTTGAAATAAAAAGCCCTTCAACTGCGGCATTAGAAAAAGGCGAAACGAGTAATGACAATACAAAAATAAACAATTCATTAGCTGCATTTTCACCGATAAAATTTTCAAAATTAAGGAGCTTTAGGGGAACTAAAATCTATCTGCCAAATTTTATGGAGATCGGCCCATATAAGGTTCCTCTCAGAAAATTACTTTAAAGCCTATAACTTGCTTCAAAATTCCAGTAAATCAACGAAAATCAACATAAACAAGTTTAAGAGGAACATAAATCTCTCTACCAAATTTTATGATGATCGGTCCAAAATTTACCCTACCCCTATTTTAGGTCCCCTTAAAAAATTACTATAATGCTTATAACTTGCTTCAAAATAATAGTAAAGCAATGACATAAACAAGTTTTATAGGAACATAATTCTAATTGTCAAATTTTTTTGGGATCGGTCCATATCATAAGTAAATTTAGAGGAAATCAAATCATAAAAAAATATGATAAAACAAGTATTACCATCACCCTGACTATATTACGATTTATATATGATAAAACAGTTTAGAATAAATCCAATAAATGATTAAATTATGGTAGCATGTATCGATTTATATAGTAAATAAATTATAAAGATTCGGCACAGCCGAATATAACACTCTTAATTGTTCACCATAATGCTGTTTTGTAATATACAACCATAGATTTTGAATAATATTTTTATCAGTTAAACTATACTTAATTTTTAATAGAAAACCTATAAATATTTTTTAATTTTTTTTTTGTCAAGCAAATTATGCTAAAAAGCATTTAGCATAATTTTAAAAAACTCCAATGCATTTTCACGATGCAAAATGCTAAATCTAGCACTGAAAGTGCTAAAATGCCAGCATTGGTGTACCTGTACCCGAAACAAATTCTCAAAGCTCCATTGAGAATCTAATTCAAACCATGAACAGTTTCATGATAAACATGCAAAATATGTTTCAACAATTGATGCAGAATCAAAGCATGCTCATGCAGATCCTGCTAAATAAAAAATGAATTCTCTAAGAATTTATTTTTGGAATGCTAATGGCCTTAGCCAACATAAGCATGTGCAACAATTCCTGCTGCTTCAAGATATTGATGTACTACTAGTCTCTGAAACATACTTTACCCTAAATAATAGTTTCAGAATTAACGGATACTACACTTATGACACAAAACATCCAAGTGGTAGAGCTTGTGGCGAAACAGCTATTTTAGTGAGAACAAATATTAGGCATTTTCCAATGCCAGAGTACAAAATGGAACACATCCAGGCCACATCTATAAATATACCAGATAGTAGAGTTACAATATCTTCAATATATAGTCCTCCTATGTATAATGCTAATCAAGAGCAGTTTCTCGAATACTTTAAAACTCATGGTCCAAGATTTATAGCAACTGGTGATTATAATGCAAAACATACATTTTGGGGCTCTCGCCTCATTACTCCCAAAGGTAGGCAATTGTTAGAAACAATATCGCCATATCTATTGGCCTCCAGACTAACTAGTTAAAGTATAAAATGTATATTAGCTCACACTTGCCACAAAACATCAAAGGTTAAACTTAATCAGTACCAAAGAAGATTCCACATCGCCTTAAAAAATAATAAGGAATCTAATCTGAGAAATTATCTCAAAAACTTAGACACAACTAAGAAAACAGAATATAGTCTCTTGAAGGCTGTCAAAAATATGCAATGCCCTATTGCATATGAGTCACCCATACGCCTCCAGAACGTTGAATGGGCAAGAAATACCTCAGAAAAAATTGAAGCACTCGCCAATCACTTGGAGAATGTGTTTACTCAAAATGACACAAATTCATATATTAGTGCTAACATTATAAATAAAGAGGTTCCACGCCCACTAAAATTCCGGCTCTCTACCATTAAGACGACAATCAAAGGTCTTATGCAGGAAAATAACCTGGTATAGATAAAATTAGTACCACCATGATAAGTAACCTGTTACCAATTCAGCACTGAGAATTATTTTGTTCATTTTTAACTCGATGCTACGTATTGGATATTTTCCTATCTCATGGAAAATATCCGAGATAGTTATGATACCAAAACCGGGAAAAGATGTCACTCAAGTGACTTCATACCGTCCCATTAGCCTGTTGTCTATATTCTCAAAACTTTTCGAAAAGTTATTGCTCGAAAGCCTTATAGTACACCTTAAAGATGATTGCATTATTCCTGATCATCAGTTCGGTTTCAGAAGAAACAGCACTATCGAACAGGTACATCGAATAACCACTCTTATTCGGAAGGCCTTCGATAGCAAGCTATATTGCTCAGCATTATTCATAGATATTTCTCAAGCTTTTGATAAGTCTGGCACGATGGACTAATACACAAAATTATCACATTACTACCTGCGAATGTTCATAAACTGCTTAAAAATTACATATATGAAAGATCTTTTCAAATCAGATCTAAAGATGTGATCTCTTCACGTCGTAAAATATCTGCTGGAGTACCCCAGGGAAGTATTCCAGTCCATTCCTATATATTTTATATACTGCAGATATGCCATCGAGCGCACTGACTCACACATCTACATTTGCGGACGATACCGTATTTGTAAGTATACATGGAAACCCTTCAATAGCTTCTGCACAACTGCAGACTCACA